CTGCTCTGACCCTTGCCAGAGCCCCCTAAGCAATTACAGCATCTTCACCAACCGCAGCTCTCAAACATTTGAATGGTTTGCATTCAAATGGAAGCAAAACAAACCAACAAGCAGCAACTTTGTTCCCTGGCAGTAAAGATAGTGCCACTGGTAGCTGGTGTCAGAGCTGGTTAGGACAAGAGTCTAGGCAGGAATGGCTTCACTAAACTTTCCTCAAAAAAACAGACATTGCCAGTAGTCTGTATATTTCACACATTGCTATAAACAGGGATGGTTCTGACAGCTCCATTTTCAGAATATATCAGCAACCCAAGAACCCATGACTTCATGCTCTAAGATTTGGAAATTGTATGATCTACCTGGTGAATCTTTCAGAAAATTTGGGTTATCTCAATCTTGCAATCAGTCTTTACAGAAGAGCTGGAAATAGTGGCCCTTTGAGGTCAGCCAATTCTGGCTTCCTGACTCGCAGAGCCACCTCTGTCCTTGGCAACAGCAGCATCTTGTGGAGTTTGCAGTCCCTCACTCCATTCAGTAACTCAACTGAATCCAACAGCCTCCACAATGCCCCTCCTTCAAACACTCCAGCAGACAGACTATCAAGTATTAGCCTTGGACACACAGAGCTCTCCTCATGCATCTTCCACCTCAGATCTAAATGATGATTTAGGGCCCCACAATTGGGAAGAAGTCCTGACCCTTGGTCTTATTTATATTTCTCCTATGAGACTTCAAAATAGAGGAGAGAAGTGGGGACTCCTCATCTAGATCATAGTAGGCCAGCTCTTAAGACTTTTGTGTAATTCAGCTTCCCCTTCCCTACACTCCCATCCTTTGCGAAATAGGCTCAGGCAGAGCAGGCTTACACAACTCTCTTCTTTCAGCTTGTGGGAAAGTCTGGACTCAGACACAAACTAATAAGACTTGTATCAATTTAAACTTCAACTATTTGTGTTTTCAACACTGTCTTCTTCCATATTTTCTTTATCTGTATGCACACAAATTTGACAATGAAGTTAAGGAAATAATATGAGTTGATTCGTAAGTCTTGACGTGATAATTTTATTGAACAATCAGGTTTGGTTGTTAATAATACAGCAATACTATGTGTCGAGGTCTAATTTTGTAAATGTATGAGAACCATGTGCAGAGTTGTCTCTTAAAGGAAGGATGTTTTGGTTTAAAAGCAGATTTCAGCATGTAAATCAACTTAGAAACAGTGAATGGATGTAAAAATATTTGGGTGAGACCATATACATTTTCTGTGCTTTTTGTAAAAGAAGCAGGTAACATTTGCTTGCATACCTGAATTTATTTTACCAATGAACAGAAATGCACATAGTCATGTTTTGAGATATGAGACTGAATAGTTATTCCTTAAAAATACAACTTTGGGTTGTACTTTGAAATAAACGATGCTTTTCTTTTTTCAAAAAAAAAAAAACCTCCACATTTATTCTCTATAAGAAATTAATGTTATCTCCTGATCCAGAAACTTTAATAATATTTCTGTATAAATTATGCAATATTACATGAGTCAAATGTATAAAAACATACATTTTACAAAAATGAATACCAAGAATAGAGTTGAATGGATACAAAAACAAGCATTCAATAATTGTAAAAAAAAATATGGTGATTGACTCTCGAAGTAAACTCTGCTACAGACTTATGACTCTTCCTATTGGAGGAGGATACATATTTATGTTTGTAAAATGATACCAATTTTATCCTTAAACCTTTGTTCCAATAATATAGGGCCCAGTATGTACATTTATAAATGCAAAAAGCATTTCATAGTCACATCAGTCACTATTTTATGACTGACTATAGCTTCCAGAGAATGCTATAACTATAAATCTCATTGTTGATGGAATATTTCAATTACTCAAGTAGCAAGCAGGCGCATTATGAGCTGCAAAAGCATTTAGGCTCACACATAGAATACAGACTTGGATTTCTGCCCTTCCTACACTTGTGTGCAGTTATAAGGCAAAAACAAAACATGCCTATCAATGAAGGCAGACAGCGTACCTCAATGCTGAAGTCTCAAAACATCGGTATTAAGCTTCACAGATCTAAATTTGAAGCAATAAAAACAACTGCTGGACTTTCATTACTTATATGACTTGCTTGATTCAAATATAATGACGTTTGGCATTCCGATTTCCAAACGTGTTGCTTTCCCCTCTTTAGGACATTTCATATTTTTCTACCTGTCTAAACACTTTTCGAATATGACAAAATTTTATCTGCTTCAAAATGATTCTTTAATTTTCATTTAAGCTGCATTACCTTCCCTTTTGTCTTCATGTCAAGAAAATATAATGGTAAGTTTATTATGGAAAATACCATGTTCTATTGTGTTTTGTAGCTGTTTACCTTCCATTTCTGATTCATCTTCTTTACTAGACTGTGAGTGGATTCTGAGCCAGCTCTGAGTCCAAACCACTTTTTTAAAAAATATCTATCCCTCATGATGTCAAGAATACAAATGAAAATTTTAAGCAGATAGTTGTAACATCTTAGACTTGACTAAAAATGAATTTTAAAAATTTCAAAATAGAGGGAGTGTCTACATTCTATGCAAAAGAAAAATAGCTTTTACTTCACTATAAGCTCAAATTATACTTAAAAACCAGAGATGCACTGAGCAGAGCTGGTAGAATGCATGCCTATAAGATAAGGACAGTTCTAGCATTAGATGTGTCAAACACTCTGTGTCCTCAAGGTTACTAACTCCATGGGAATAAATTCCAAGGTTTAGGAATATGGGAAAACTGGAGAACATCTGGGAAAGAATGGCTAAAGGGAGGCACATTATGGGATCTATATTCTATGAAGGATGAATAACAGTACCCAGCACCAAGGTGGGAAACATGAAGAAAGATTGCTTATTCTGAATCACTCTGTAGTGCCCCAGGTTGCTCATCTATAAAACTGGTGCAATCCTTGTAAATTCTTCACCGGGCTCTTGTGACAGTTAAGCAAGTCACTGCAATAGTGCTGCCCTTTGAATAGTTCCTGGAACATCATAAAACCTATAGAGATGTCAGTTACTGTCATTCTTCCAAAGTGGACAAGGAACAATGACAGACACCGGCTGAAAGATTTTTCTCTGCTTCAGAAAGAACTAACTAGAATTTCCCAGCCCCTCAAAACAGTAAATAGCTCAACTTTGAACTTCAATGCTTTTCCATGAAGAAGTTACAAAGGATATTAGAGACTTGGGAAAAAGTCAAACTACATGAGCTTCCAGCTGCTAGGCAGGATTGTTTAAGTGTTGAAAGTGGCCATAAATGGCTAAATGCCTAGGCAGGTACCACTGAGCATTCTGCATGTGGTGCTGAGATTGGAAAGTTCCTCTTGCCTCTCCCCTGGGACTGGGGGAATTACTCCTGCATTGATAGTTGGGCCATCATCTTGTGAGTTGGAGTGCATGACTAAATTTATGACCTATGTATACAACACTAATACACTTCAGGAATAAAGAACAATGAGTACCCTGTTCCGAGAGTAAGACACAGAAAGAAAGTAGGTGATTCACAAAATACCCACTTTGCAAATTAGTCTAAAATTCTTCTCAGTAAAGGCAAACAAAGGCAGAGAGTAGCTAGGAGTATATCAAGGAAAGCATAAATGTCTCATCTGCCCGGAGTGTTACAATCGCCAGTAGGAGAAATCCAGCCATATTTTATTTCCACCTTGAAAATCCTCCAAGGGATGTTCACACTATGTACTGTTCTGCTTCATTTTGAGTTTGTAAATATTTGGCTTAGTAGGAAGCACAATGCAGAGAATATGGTTATTTTCCCCAATAAAATACTTAGTCTGTACTGAAATGATTTATATAAGGCAAACCAACCAACATTCTATATCACACTAAGAAAGTGAACCCAATAATTCTTCCCTATGGAAACCCTTTGCAAAGGCAACACTCTCTGTCATACCTGATGGTCTTTAATCCCACGTAAGTCACTCTAAAATCCAATGTCTCAAATTAATTAGTTAATCTCACATGGAAAAAATGTCAAATCAGTTTTTCTCTTATTCTGCATTTGGCAAACACCATAAATTTTTAAACCAATTGTTAGTCTCAACATATAATACCTTTAAATTTTCATTGAACTAGGTTTCTTCTATATATTGAGTGTATGGCAGAATTAATGGTCGCCAAAAACAAACTATACGCTGGATAATTGAAGCATAAAATAAATGTACCAAAGTTCATTAGGTAGTTTGCAGAATGGCCAGTGTCTGACTTGAGGTCATGCAGTAAGATTCAATGCCCAAACCCTTCTAGGACTTCTCCACACTACAGGTCTATGTGGAATTGGGGATGAAGGGGAAGGTGGAAAGGAAGAAATTAGGAATTCATGAAAAGCAGAAAAGGATATAGCACATTTGTTAGGGAGGAAATTAAAGCTTGAGAAAAAGGCAAGCTATTTTGATTTTTCCTTCCATACTTTTCATCTATAATCTCAACTGGTAGACTGGGTGCCTTGGGGAATAAATAAATTGAAAGGAAAAACATGAACATAAAGCAGTGAAAGTAAAATGTAAAGGGAGAAGACAGAGTTCCAAGACTGCAAATCAGCTAAGCTTATTACTGCATCTGATGAATTCAAGTTCAGTTCCATCCAGAGTTAATTAGAGATGGCTGTGAACACAGGTGCATTTGTTTGAGGTCATAATTACAGCTTTGTTGGTGTTTAAGTGATCCAGCTGTACAGAAACTGCAGAATTGTTCTCGTCATTGTAAGTGAAACACCTAACATTGTGAGCAAGTGCTCCTGGAACACGGAGTCCAAGGCCTTTGGGACTAGGCTAAGTAAAAACCTTAGTAATAAGGATGGTACATGAGAGAGGAGCTGCAGAGGTACTCCCTCCCTTCATATGACACCAAAGACAAGAAAGTCAGTTAGCATTTCCTTCCTCTTTTTCCAAGTTCCCACACAGTGCATTTAAAGTCAAAGAACCAATTTGGAAATAAGATTAAAGTTCTAGATTTCTATATTCTTACATCAGAGATCATGGGACTTATTTGCTCTGTGATGTTTACAGATGACAGCCATAAATTCCTGGGCCTCAGACTCGTGATCCTCCTGACATCCTCTTAGCCGCGTGTGTCACCACAACTGGCCTTTTTATCAAGAGAAAAACCAGAGTCTAAAGAAGGTAAGTTAACATGGTTGGTTAAAATATTTTAAATGCAGTTACATAGACGGTGAAAAAATATTTATAGGAAGAGGAAACAACTCATCTTTCAAACTAAGAGTCAAGGCTTCTTTGAGTAAAAGTTCCATTATTCATCCCCATATTTCCTTAGTACACAGTAATTCATGCTAAAAATTAAAGTTTCTTCCATGAGAAAAAGTAGGCAGTCTTACAATGGGTACTAACTTGAATTTTCCATATTAATGTAAGTAATAACCAGGTAACATATTATCATTTCACAGAATTAAATAATGCAAATATTTTAGAATTAAAAAAAAGTATCATACATGATTATAAAATCCTGTAATTATGCATGCCTGTGAAAGTTAAGAATTATGGGTGCACTTCTCATTGTTAATATTACCCAACATTGATTTCAATGTTACAAGTGAACAAAGAATAAAAATGAATGCAGATATGAGTATTGAAGAGACAAAATTGTCACAATTTCAGATTATTTTATTTTTAGAAAATAGTAACTGATCAGTTGAAAAACAAGAAATCTTATCATTTGCAAGTAAATGTATGGAACTGGAGAACATCATTCTGAGCGAGGTTAGCCAGGCTCAGAAGACCAAAAATCGTATGTTCTCCCTCATATGCGAACTTTAGATCTAGGGCAAACACAACAAGGGGATTGGACTTTGGTCACATGATAAAAGCGAGAGCACACACAGGAGGTATGGGGATAGGTAAGAAACCCAGAAAACATGGTAGTATCTGATGTCCTCAATGCAGAGGAACTAATGCAGAAACTTTAAAGTGACAGAGCTCAATAGAAGGGGATCAGGAACTTGAGAAAAGATCTGTTAGAGATGAATCAACTTAGAATGTAACACATTTGTACATGGAAGCAATGCTAGGAATCTCCCTGTATATCTATCCTTATCTCAACTAGCAAAAATGCTTTGTCTTTTCTACTACTGTTTATATTCTCTCTTCAAGAAAATTAGAGATAAGGGCAGAACAGTTTCTGCCTGGAAGCAAGGAGGTGGTAGCGGGGAGAAATAGCTCAAACAGTGTATGCACATATGAATAAACGGAAAAAAAAAAAGCAAAACAATAAGGTACTTAGTGAATCATTGACAAATATACTATGAATTAGCAACACACAATTTGAAAGGTCAATAACAGAAGATCCCATTTAAAATTTACCACAAATACTGTAAGATGAATAAATTTTAAAAATGTGTAAGAGCTCAACTTAAAATAATATAAATCCCCAAGGAACATATGGACAAGAAGAGAGCTTTTTAAATGTATCTTGAACTTGATACACTGATTCTAAGATTTATCCAGATGAATATATATGGAAAACATATGTATTCAATGACAGGGGACTACTTTAAAAGTTATCCAAATCCTAAATACTATAAAATTAAATAATTAAAACTGTAGTTTTGTACATAGGGCTTTAAGGTAAAGGTTAAAATGAAATAAATTAGATAATTCATATATGTATACACATGAGAGTTACATGTATGGTAAAATTGCCACCTTAGATCTGTAGAGAATACTTACTTTAAATGTCATTAGAACAACTAGACAATATTCGTAAAAAAGAAAGACAAAGTTAGAACCCTCCTGAACATAATGTACACACTAAATATTAAAAAATGGAAAAAACCATGCAACATTATAGAAAAATCATAGTCATGCCTGTATCCTTGTTTTGAAAAAGTGTCAAAATGAAAAACTTAGTAAAATGCTGGCCAAATTTTAACCACCAAAAAAGTTTAGAATTTTTATATTTTAGAGGAAAAAGCCTCAAGATAAAAGTGAAATGCCTCAAAATATTAACATAAATGAGCTCTTTAGAGTTTTTAGGAATTCCTAAAATAATTCAGGTGATCTAAGTAAATTAACATTAGCCAATGTGTGTATAAGTAGATATTGAATCTTAACAACAATCAAAATCATAGAGATTAAACATTTTAGCTTTTCAAAGAAAACATTCATAGTTATTAAAACCAGAAGTATTAAAAGAAGCTATTTGCTTTTAACATGTTTAGCAATAGAACTTTGATATACTTATTTAAATATCTTAACTTTGATTTTCTTAAAAAGTCATTTTCAAAAGCTTGCGAAAGTTTTGAATATTTAAAACTAAATTCCATTTACACAACTTCAAACCTATAAACATAGTTATTTTAGAAATCTAAATTTCTCATACTTAAAAATAAACTGGAAGAAAATGTTTTTAAATTTTAGCAGGGGTTTAAAATAGAATTATAGCTAGGCATGTTGGTGGATGCATGTGATACCAGGTATGCGGGAGAATGGGTTCCAAGGCTGGGCCCCAGGCAAAAGGAAGAGCCTATCCAAAAAACAACTAAAGCAAAAAAGGGCTGGAAGTATGGACCAAGTGGTAAAACATCTGCCCAACAAGTGCAAGACCCTGACTTCAAATCCCATTAACTAAGTAAATAAATAATAAATAGTAAATAGGTGAATACATAAATACAGATAAATGGATATGTACACATATTCAGTATAGATTACAAAGGGTATGTCCCAGCATAGGGATTGACAGAGCCCTTTAAAATTTTTATTGCCTTTACATAGCACAGTTCTTGATATAATAAAAGAGTCCTGGTAATTATTTGCTGAGTGAAAGTCAATCTTTACTTCCTTCTCAGAATATAGATGTCAATGTACTCTCTATATTTACCTCACAAATATAAAGGAAAGAAATCTCATACATATGTTTATCTGAATGACTTAAAGTGAGTAATATATTTTATAATAGTCATGTGATTTGAATATTAGTAATAAATTCTTACATTATGATTAAATAAGGATGCACCCATTATGAATTACATATTTGTTTAGTTATGTATATATGACTGAAGTTAATTCTTTAGGACTTTAGGTAACAGAAAATTTGGAAAATTTCTATCTTTAGTTCAAAAAAGTACTAGCCCAATTGAAGTCAGTGTATTTCTTTGCAAATAGTTTCTAAATTATACTAACAACAAAATATAAAATCAATAAGTAAAAATATCAGAGGAAGACATTTGTTTTTTATTTTCTATAATTGACAGATTTAATAAATTCAACAAATTGACAACAGCAACAAAATCCAACAGGCACAGAAAGTACCTAAATAGAAATATTTTCCCAGCATAGAGCGATGAGACTTCACACATAACTTTTCAAAGTCTTTTAAGTTTCTAGCCGGTGGAAATGAACATAAATTTCACATTGTAAGCATGATTTCCTATCATAAAGATTGTAGGCAGTTTTCATGGGGTATAGCTCAGTGGTAGAGAGCTTGCCTACCATGCATGAGGCCCTCCTTCTAGCTTAGCACTGCAAGAAAAAAATTAAAAAGGCAAAAGAAAAAGATGACTGTTGTAAAATTCAAATGAGAGATAAGGAATGTAGATAAAGCACTCCTAATCTTTCCAAGGTTGTAAATTTACCTCCTACTTTGTCTGTGACAGCTGTACTTTTTCTGACTTGATACAATTACTCATTTTAATCTAAAAAGACTATTTTCCAAAGCATAGCCTTAATGAGGAATGAAAGAGGTAAGAATGTAAAAAGCAGATTAGCAACAAATCAAAGAACATTTTCATAAAAGAGAGAGAGAGAGAGACCATGTCCTCAACACGCTTTACAGAATTGATTGGACAATGACCACCCGCTCTTGTGAAGGATGATCTTGAGCTTGTTCCCCTTGGTCCTCTCAGAGTGACCCAGAGACCAGGGCAGATCAGCATCACACTAAGGGTCATTGCCTACTGACCTCAAACTGTGGCTTCCTCCCAATTCCCAGGAGCAGTTTCCTACAGTGAAAGCCAGCAACTTTGAAAGATTTTTCGTTTGAGAATGATGACAGAGAAGCACCAACAATGCTCCCTGGATGCTGTGGTCTGTCACAGAAATGTTGGTGCCCACTGACTGATCTGGCCTCATCTGTTCCTTTCCTTCACTGTGTGACATGCACCGTGTGACCAAGGAAAAGTCAAAGCAGCTGAGATGAGGTGGCAGACAGGGTTCATTTCATGGAGAAATTAGTTTTCCAGTCTGGAATCATGATAAGTGACTTCTCTTTATTATTTTGGGGTTTTTAATATATGAGCCTTTCAAACTAACACAGGCAGAAACTCAACTTAACCAATTCTTTTGTATGTTGGAATCATAGCTACTCTCCACAAAATGGATGTGTTCACATTACCAGAGCCAAAGAGGTTAAATACTACAATGCATAAAATACTGGCCCTTAAAGCATCCAGCTGGCAACACATCTACCAGCTGTGATCACATTCCCAAACTCTGTGCAAAACATCTATCGTCCCTGGGTCTGGGATAAAGTTTAACCTAAAACACACAGAGGTAAATGCTCAGCATAAACATTTAGAACAGGAGCTCCTTGTAAGTACTGCCTAGGAAATCTGCAAAGTATTTTTAAAACCATTTTAGTACTGGACATAATGCAATAAAATGAGCACGCTAGCAAAGAACTAAAAAAAAAAAGTTTGGAAAATAAACAGACATATCTAAGTGATACAAACACATTTCACTTCATGTCTTTCCTTCTGCCCTGTTTCCCAGCATTACTTTCTTAAGGCCCTTTGATCACATGGGATAATGGCAAAGTTAAAATGATAAAGATAAAAATATCCCTGATTCATTAATTACCTGTATATTAATTACCCTTTTATATTTGGGCTTACATTGTCGATGGGAAAATACTCACATTTAATATTTTAGGTGTTTATATTTAAGAGATGCTTTATATCAAACTCAATTTTTGAACCAAATTCAAGACTAACACAGCCATATCTGAAGTTGTGGAAGTAATGAACATCAGTGTACAGAGGGCTTTGAACAGCTTCAGCTTCTAGCCTTCCAGTGGGAAAGTCTGTTGATTCCCTCTTTGTCCAAGGAAGGCCTGAATACTACAAGTGCTTCAGCGCTTACCATAAAATATCACACTGAATTGTGACCTACCT